GGTTCTTGACTTTAAATCGATGTTGCAGCATAACTAGAGTGATTATTTAAGAAAACTTTATCGGAGATGATAGGTAATGCTTTTGAATTTGAGAAAAAAAATATGTCAATTTATTTTTTGCTCCATCAATAACTTTTTCACGCGCTAGAATCATTGTCCCGAGCAACAGTCAGCAACAGTCAGGAGAGACATGGCAACGATGTAATAAGCTCTAAATGATTGCCGTAACGTTGAGGTTTTTCCAAAAACGACTTTTTTTGTTTTGATTGAATAGTTCACACGTCGTAGCGTAGATGGCAAAAATTCTGAAATTCGCAAATTTTTGTGCAAGATTAACGCCATTAATGATGCCAAACAGAATGCTATACACGATAACTAACAGGGCGTCCAGCATACACACACACACTAATATCAGCTCGTAAAACACTTTCGAAGTGTGCGTTAGGGAACATTTTCTCTTATTCCGATCCTCTAGGACGTGCTACTAAATATTCCGTGAAAAAAAACACCAAAATTGTCTTTACTGTTAGAGATAAGCTTAAAAAACAGCTTATTCCATCCTGTTCCGTTCCATCTTGTCCCGTTCCATCCTGTCCCATATGTTTCCATCCTGTCCCATGTCCCAGTGTAGTGGGACAGAGTGGAAAACTGTTACAACTGAGACTTGCTTGTTTAAGCCCTGTAGGCGCTCTTTTCTACCGATTTAAGTGAAACTTGGAACCCGGGGGTATTTTTCAATGGGGAACTTGAATTTTTAGTCGAATTTTGAAAATTCGAAACTCCAAGATGGCGGATAAGACCGAAAATGCTATCGCAGCGCCTAATCAACTGAGACTTGCTTGTTTAAGCCCTGTAGGCGCTCTTTTCGGCCGATTTAAGTGAAATTTGGTACACGGAGGTATTTCCCAATGGAGAACTCGAATTTTTAGTCGAATTTTCAAAATTCGAAAATCCAAGATGGCGGACATGGCCTAAAGTGCTATCTCAGCGCCTAATCAATCGATTTACGCAAAACTTGGTACCCGGGGGTATTTTTGAATGGGAAACTCGAATTTTTAGTCAAATTTTCAAAATTCGAAAATCCAAGATGGCGGACGTGGCCTAAAATGCTATCTCAGCACCTAATCAGTCGATTTACGCGAAACTTGGTACCCGGGGGTACTTTTCAATGGGGAACTTAAACTTTTAGTCAAATTTTTAAAATTCGAAAATCCATGATGGCGGACATGGCCTAAAATGCTATCTCAGATCCTAATCAATCGATTTACGCGAAACTTGGTACCCATGCGCCGCGGGTGTTTTTGAGTGTGGAACTTGAATTTTAGTCCAATTTCCGAGATTCGAAAATCTAAGATGGTGGCCGTGGTTAAAAACACTATCTCGGTGACTAACTAATTGATTTTAATGCAACTGGACCGGAAAACCATGGTATAAGGAAAAGAAAGGAAATTTTAATAGGGGTGCAATAGGGTTTCTTATGTATCTTAGCCTACGAAATCGAAAAATTCCCGTGTTTTTTCCATCGTGCGCAGATTCTCTCGGAAAATTGACTCTTCTGGAAAAGCTAGATTTTTAATGAAAATTCCGATTTCTCCGGAAAAATTCCGAACTTTCCCAGGATTAATCGCATCGATACAGGTAAATGGAGGTGTTCTTCCGAGTCAGCGCCAAAAATAAACTCGGAATCCATTGGCAAATCTTCGGAAAATCAAAAATCAAAAAAAAAAAAAAAAAAAAAAAAAAAAAAAAAAAAAAAGTTGACCGGTGTAATTGTTATATTAATGTAAGTACTCAAACTTTTCCTGGCTTTATCACCACTTCAGCGGGTACACGCCCACTCGAAGTTTTAAAATTCGGTGTTTTTGATCCATTTTGTATTGCAATATTCCAAGAAATAAAAGCTTCTTCTCGTGTGAAACGAAAACAGTGCGCATTTTGATAAACAGACGGAACTGTCTAAAAGACAAGCAGAATAAGCTCCAGATATCTTTCATGACGGATGAATTTTTTCTTAATCTTTTTGGTTCTGCAAGATATGAAAGGGTTACATGTTTTCAATTTTGCTTTAATTTAGTGCTCGACGATGCTTTTATGACAATTGTGCTCAATTTTTAATTAAAAGTATTATATGTCACTTCTGAGATGAAAATTTAGGAAATCAGGCAAAATTACGGCAAATTTTGGGAAGTGATACACTTGCCGGTGGAAATTCGGGTTTAAGCCCAACTATTAAGCTCGACGAGCTATATTTCCTAAGTCTACACCTAATGATAGTCAAAATAAAGTTTGGTTTGCCCAAAAATTCAGAAAAAAATTTTGGGAGGAAACAGAACCTGGAATTTGACCCTTATTTGAATTCACCCACCTGCCGACTCTGGGGCTATCTCCTTTCCGCTCTCGTCCGGTTGACGTTCCGTCTTTCCTGTTCCTATGCTCCTCAAGAACCTGATTTGGATGGTCGAGTAAAACGGCATGTGGAATCCGTGATTAGACTGCTGGTCGGTGGGGGAGTTCCCTTGATTTGTTCACTCGAGTACTGAAATGAGGAATCTTTCTGGCTTTTTATCGCTGAATAATTGAATCTTATCTTAGGATTTTTGCGAAAACGGTGCATCATAGAAAGTTGGCACAAGTATAACTTTTGATCAGCATCTTGAGGAGAATTGAATGACATAAATCAATAAGCATTCGATCATGGTGCAGCTCCCCATAAGAGGTTGCAGGGTCCTTTGGAGAAAATTGGAGAACTTGGTCGGGGAAAAAGAGCAATCTGGAATTTCATGATCAGTCCCAAACGATGTCATGTGGAAAGCTGAGTTGAACTTCCGCAAAGAACTCACATAATTTTAGAAGAACTGTCATCGCCTACTAACAAACCCTTTAATGGCAGAGGAGGTTCCCTAGTAAAGCAAGAGACATCTTATTTTCACTGCAACATTTAAATCTTATTGTAAAATGAAAAGAAGGGTAGGTGGAGATTAAATAAATTTGAACTTGATTTTAGTGGACTTTACATTTGTGGACTTAACTTAGTGGACGTTTAAGTAATGGACTTAACAATAGTGTGGGCTTTAGAACTGTGGACGTAAAAATTGTGGGCGAAAAGTCTGTGGACGTAAAAAAAGTGGACATAAAGTCCGTGTACCGTTTGCATGTTTTATTGAAATAATGCTACTAAGTCTATTCTATAACAACGTTCTATAAACAATACGGTCTGACATGCAGTGATAATTAAAAAAATTAAAAACATGGATTTTTCCGGGATCCAAACTCTACAGGGGACCAACAGTTTCACTTCATTTTCAAAAAGTTTGACAGAGGATCTTAACTTCTCCACTAATTCCCCCATTTTTGACCACTGTGCGATGTAAATTTTTGAAGCTGAACACAATTTCATGCATTGAGGACCAATAAGAACATTGTTAGCCACGAAAACTGCAGCAGACCGACAATTTTACTGTCATTTCTAAACATTTGACAAAGAATCCTGATTTGTTGACGATTTCTCCCAATTTTGGACCACTGTGCAACCACAATTTTTGAAACTGAACACAGTGAAATGTTAGGGGGCCCAATGAGAACATTTACAGCCGAAACCCATCAAAGGTGTAACTTTTTCCTCCATTTTTCCAGTCTTTTTGCTGTCCAGAATTATGGCGATTTGGCAACTTTGCCCCCTCATTTCTCAAAAACCGTGCGTATACTCAAGCTAAAATTTTTACCATAGTTTTAGGGTATCATAAGGTATCGTTTGGGCCCGATTTCAGAAAAAATTCCCGCTGTTTTCGAGAAGTAAATTTTACGTTCTTTTCAATGAGCATAACAATTTTTTTCTCAGATAATCGTGGCTGGAGGTATTGAAGCAAAGTTTCTCCTAAAATCAGCAAAAATGCGCCTTTTTTCAGCGAATTTTCCAAGAAAACGTTAATTTCACGACCAAAAAATAAAGCTAGTAAAAACAAAAGAGGGTGATTTCGGTAGAAAATTTTATGCTCTTCCCGCTGGTTTTTTTGTTTTTTTCTTGAGATGAACCATTGAGAAGATATTAGCAAAAATCTACTTGTGGGTTTTCTCAATTTTGAAAAATTTAAAATAGCGGCGCCCTGAGGACCAGCAAATTTTCTTGAAGTTAATATGGTTATTTTCGGGCCTGTTTAGCACCTAGGAATCGAAAAAAATTGGTTTGGTTCGACGGACGAACTAAAACCTGTTTGTTGTGCTGTGTTATCAGAGGCATCTTCTTCATCTCTTGCGTCCGAAGTAACTGCGTCACTAACGTGTCGATCTAATCTTATCTTTCTACTTGTTCTGACCTTACAGCAATTGAAAGTCTATCTACTCAAATTAATCTTTCGCTTTGTCATTAGTATTTTTTTAGGCATAGTATTCACATATTAGGCCATAGGTAGGCATAGTATCATCACACTTTTGCAGATGAGGAAGGGTAAAACAGAGTCACAAAAGTAATTTCATAAAAAAAGTGGTCGTAGACGAAATGTAAATAAAGCCGAGGAGAATGGAAAAGAGTATCAGCTGACTGAGCCGAAACAATCAACAGGCGCAGATGAACGCAAAACCATAACAACGACGACAACGGAAGATTCCAATAAATTCGAAATTTCCCGCCACTGCCCCCCTCCGATTCGCAGTCCCCTAGAATTTTCTTTCCGCGCTAGCGGCAACAAGGAAGCTGAGAGTGCGAAAAAAATTAGTGGCTGACCTCCGCGCGCGCATGGCGCACACCATCGAAAAAACCGCACCGAGATCTGTGCAGCGGTTGCGGTGATTACTTGTTACAAAGGAGCGGGAAGTACGATTTTATTTTATAGTGGGTGGATGGGTGGATTATAATGGATGGATGGATGGATGGATGGATAAAGCGGATGGATGGATGGATGGATGGACGGACGGATAGTGGATAGTGGATGGATAATGGATTTGGGTGAAATTCGACCGCTTTTTCATAAGGAGCCTTATTTATGAGTTTCTTTTTTTGTCAGGAAAAATGAAATGCCAGTAATGCAACCTTCGGCACCAGTAGATCAACCGTCCTGCTGGACTTTACTTACCAAACCTCAACCCACTGAATGTGCCTCAACTTCCCGAAAATTCAAGAAGCCAGACTATTTTAGTGATAATTTCTAATTTTCTTTGACTTGTAAAAATATACATTTTTCTTGCAATTTTTCATGTCAGTTTTTATTTTCCTTCACTTCAGAATTTTCTTCGACAGTTGTGAAGTTGCATCATACTTACAGTTACGAAAGCCTGTCCCAATCAACTAAAAGTCGGCTTGTTTCCAGGGGTGGGAACCGAAATGAATTTTTGAACCAGTTCCAGTTCCAGCAGTGCCGAAATTTCGGCTCCAGTTCCGATTGTATTATTTTGGTTCTGGTTTCATAACCGGTTCTGTGGAGTCCTTACTCCAAATGAGTTTTGAGTAAGGTCTTGTCTCCACGGGACGTTTTCATGGGATTTGTCCCAAGTTCGAATCGCAGGAATGAAACTTCTGGTATTTTTCTCAGTTACTGTCTCCACAGGACGGGGCTCACACAGTCCTGCGGCTAGTTTGTGCGGGAAGATAAATTACTTAAAGTCGAGTATTTAACCAGGATTTAAATAATAATTGCACTCAATTGACAATTAGACACATTATTTTAATTAAACGAACATGAACAATGTAGTAATGAATAAAATATAACACAATGGACCACTAGACAAGGTACGAACTTCAGCATTCTGATTCATGTTTCTTCACTAAAATTTCACGTAAAATACGATGCGCACAACGAAAATTACCGAAATCAACTTCTTACGAAGATATTAAATGATTCTTGATGCGTAAATTCAAACCACCCGCTCATGAAAACTCAATGCTCTACGTGATTCACATCGCACGCTAAACGTTATCATGACAGTATCTGCGATTTAAAAATCTGGCAGCCTCAATCTTGACGCTTTGGCTCAGCTATAGCAAACTACTTATAGTTTGAACAACACATGGTGGGAAATGAACATTGCTCGATTGAGAAGCTTTCTGAAACCGTTGTAATGAGCGATTTGACTCTCGTAGAGCTTTGAGTTTCTTGTGAGCGGGCAGTTCAAATTCCTCGTAACCAATGTGAAATAAAAGCGTTAATATCTTCGTTAGGAGTTGGTTTCAGTAATTTTAGTTGCACGAATCGTGTTCTACGTGAAATTCTGGTAAAGAAAAATGTATCGGATTGCTTAAATTCGTACCTTGTCTAGTGGTCCATTCGTTTTCACTTCTTCTTCTTCTCTCAGTGGGTCCTAGGCGTACAAGTACATACCATACTTGGTACTGGGAAAAATATTGATTAACTCAATATTTTTTCCAACTTCGTAAGTGGGATTTTTCCCTGGGACAAATCTCGTGAGACGGCTCGTGGGGACAAGGCCTAAGAAATGATCAAAGAAGGATTTATACGAGGGTCAACCAAAATATCAACTTACAACTTTTGTCATTGCGTTGACTGACACCGAGTTTTCATTGGATTTTTTTTCCCTCCTCTGTATTTTATTTCATACCTTGAAATACGGTTGGTAAAATAAGGTTCTTTTGGTAATCTCATAATTCTGTCTCGGTAAAATTACCAATAATAGTGAGATGGCAAAGTTACCAATGGACCTTGGTAAAAACGCCAACATTTTTTATCGACTGTGGTAGAATTACCGAGATAAAATGGTAAAGTTACCGGAAATTGACTACCAATAAAAGTGGTACATATTCCTACCTGAAAAAACCAGTAAAAATACCGATTTTTAAGTAAGCTTACCAGTCTCCCTTGGTAACATTACCAATAATTCAGTGCTGTCTGATAAGCTCAACCATGCGGTTCAGCGCTCTCTGTTATCAACTGTGATAATCACCTTCGTGCCAAGTGTCTCTGCTGCCGTGGCAGCTTGTGCTTTTACGAAATTCTAACCTACAAAACAAAAATCGGTAAAAGTTGAACTTTTCTTTTACTACCCCCGCAATGGCAGGGGCAGAACGAAATACTACCACATCCACAAGTGGTAAAAAACCACAAGATACATATAAACACTCTAATCGGACAGGTGCTTTTGGTTGATCTAAATCCAACTTTAAATGACACTCGTGTTTCTGATCAAGTTACATAATTTATGGCGCATTCACAGAATCTGGTTAAAACGTTAAACGACGAAAACGAAGTGCTGGAAAACAAACTAAGTGCAGTTTCTGACGAAAACAAAGTGCTGATAAACAAACTAAGTGCAGTTACTAGTAAGTTAACTTCGCAAGATGAAATTATCACGTCTCTCCAAACGGAAATAAATGAAGTGAAACAGCAAAAAACAGGTAATTCACAACCTACACCTAAAGATATCAACCCGAAATTTGTTAAGGAATTAACGAAATCGATCAAACCTTCTGGACAATCGAAAATTACTCAGTTCACCAAAGATGGTTCTAAGAACCCATCCTCAAGCAGCTAACCAAACTGCGGATCCTAAACTGATTGCAACTAGCAATAAATTTGTCATTCTTCAAAATGAGGATATGGAAATTGCAACATCAGAGGATGATGATGCTCCCTCTTCCGTGATGTCTCTCTTTCGGAGGATGCAAACTCAGATCCAGAGTTTCGTGCCAAAAGCCTAATCTACAGGCAACAGCGCAAGAAGAGGAAATGAGGAAACTCCAACCCACAGGATGACACTTCGAAGGAAAATAACTCAAAGGAACCTACGGATAAGTTAAATAATAATTCTAATACTAAGTCTAGTGTCAAGGTTACAAAGATTCTCTCCCCTCCATTAATTAAAGTGGTGGGAATTAAATCTTTCGAGGACATTAAGTTCTTACTAAAAGAAACCTCCCCAGAGGAGTTTACTATTCGTTTTCTAAATAATGAAACCTGGAAGGTGAATCCTTCTTCTGATGGAGCTTACAGGAAAATTTCCGAAAAATTAAAAGTAAATAATACCCAATGGTATTCTCATAGTAACAAGAATACAAGGAACATTAAGGTTCTCTGCAAAGGTTTACCTCCTTCTATCCCAGAAGAAGAAATTGTTGAAGATCTTCAAGCCAAGAACTTAAAAATTAAATCCGCAGTTAGTCTTCGAAAAAGAGTAGATAAAGAAACACCAAAAAGTAAAAATAAGAACCCCGGAAATACCCAGGCAGATCAAATTTCAGATCCCCCCCCCTCCTTCTAAAAAGGAAATCAGGGAGTATGAGCCGATCAAAATCCCGGTACATCAGCTGGATTTCGATCATACAGAATCTGTAGATAATGTTTTTAAAATCAAATCAATTGCTCACACAATTGTGAAAATTGAACATACTAAAACTGATCCTCTAGTGGTCCCACAGTGTAGGCGCTGTTGTGGCTGGTCACACACAGCAAACTATTGTTTTAGGCACCACGATGTGTAAAATGCTCGGGCAAGCATTTTTCCCATGAATGTCCTTTTCCTGGTCGTATTCAAAACCCCAAATGTGTTAATTGCGGAGCAACAGGGCATCCAGCCAGCTATCGTGGCTGCCCATTTGCCAAGGAGTTTCAGCTAGCGAGAAAAAACCGATTAAAAGCTAAAAAATTCCCCCCTCAAACAGGGAAAAATTTCCCTAAATTAAATAAAAAGGATGCCCCTACGGCAAATAAGCCAAAACCTCTTGGAAAATCTTTTGCCCAAGCTGTGTCTGATAACAAAGCATCTGATTCTTCAAATCAGACTGATATTATAAACACTTTGCTCAAAACTGTTGAATCGTTAAATACTCAGATTCAATTGCTTAATGAAAAAATTAATCGCTTAGAAGCAAAAAAATGATTAATCTTTTTCTATGTGTAACTCTCATAATGAAAATGTCCTTTTGTCTCACACTAACAATGACTCATTACTTGTTTCAGAACAGAATGATAAGATTATTGATTTCGATGATGTAACTCGATTGCAATCACGCTCGAGCAATAACAGATCACTAAACCTTATGGCTTGGAACTGTGGCGGCCTGTCCCGGGTGAAGGCCAAGGAATTCAATGTCACGCTAAGGGATTTCAATGTGGATATAGCCCTCCTATCAGAGACCTGGTTCACTAAGAATAATTTTAAAAGGTATTTCGTTGGTTATAAGATGTACAACGCTATGCATCCTGAGAATAAACGCCGCGGCGGGTCCTCGGTGCTAATCAAAGAAAATATCAAGCATAACTTGATAAAAATTATTGAAACTACCGCATTCCAGAGCGTAGTAATTAATCTAGAAACCGAATTTGGCAACTTTAATCTAGCCTGATTATATACTCCTCCTAAAAATGTATTATCCACTGAAGATTATAAAGATTATCTTAGTGAACTAGGACCCTCATTTATGGTTGCAGGGGACTGGAACGCTAAGGATCCCAGATGGGGCTCCAGGATAACGAACCCAAAAGGAAAATCCCTCTTGGAGGCAGCAAATTTATCTGATAGTTACTTTATATCACCCAGAAAACCAACTTACTATCCGTATGATCCAAATCACAAACCTGACATTATTGATTTTTTCTTTATAAAAATTTAAATTTGATAGACAAAACTTCCTGTGTTATACTACCACCCCCATTAAGAGGTCACGCAAAAGTTATTTTATCTATTTTTACAAACCCAATTCTAATAAATCGCCCCCTTCTATTTGCTCTAAAAGAACAAATTGGGACAAATTTAGAGGAGATCTAGAAAAATTAGTGGATAATAGCGCTCCAGTCTCCTCGCTAGCGGATATAGATGGAGAGACTAAGCTGTTAGTGGAACAAATCAAAAAATGTGCAATTGCTAATACGCCTATTGCAGTTAATAACTCCCACCCCTATACAATTCCTAAAGAACTTTTAAATTTAATTAGAAGAAAAAGAAAAGCTTACAGAAAGGCAGTTGACTCTGCCTTGACTGCGTTGACGCCTTAATAAAATAGTTAAAAAACGAACCCAAGAATTTCTGAACTTTAAATTTCAAAATTTTGTAGAATCTTTATCACCTTCAGCTGACAAAAATTATTCCTTGTGGTCAGCTACGAAATATCTAAAAAAGCCCAAACAACTAAAATTTTCAATCAAAAGAGCAGATGGTTTATAGGCAAACTCGGACGCTGAAAAAGCGGAGATTTTGGCGGACCATTTTGAAAAGGCATTTAAACCCCATAGCGACATAAAATCA